AAAAAAACACGCTTTTAAAGCACATCGAACTAAAAAGTTAAAAATAATTTTTAAAATAATTATGAACAAAAAATACTAGTTTTATTGTGATAAAAGCGTGGGTGCTTTGTGTCAAAATGTTCGTATATTGAGCGCCCGACGCTTTTATCACAATAAAACTAGTATTTTTTGTTCATAATTATTTTAAAAATTATTTTTAACTTTTTAGTTCGATGTGCTTTAAAAGCGTGTTTTTTAGTTTTTTAAACTATATTTTTTCTTATTTTATTAACACGCTTATATTAGTTTCACATGTATGTATGTATGTAACTCCCCAAACGGCACGCGTTATCGCATATTCCGTCGTCTAGACTAGACTGTTATACGCATTCACCCCTCCCCACGCCGCGCTCACCACACGACGGCACCACAGAATAGATTAAACCAGAATGGACACTGATAAAAAAATTACATGTATTCTTATGGGAGTACGGTAATTTTGAGCTTATGTCGCTCAGTGTTACCATAAAAACAATAAAATAAATAATTATATGCATATAATTCATTGTACTGTACAATAATTGTACATCGGCGGTTGATTTGAACTCTAAATGTATTATTTACATGCTAATTATTTTAGAAAATTTGCATAGTAAATTTTTTGGATTTATTTTATTATTATTTCTAAACATATAACACCATTTTAAAACTTTCAATTAATGTTTTCATTATGTGTAATTAGTTTGTTTAATATATTTTTTATTTTATGTATATTTAATAAAGACTTATTTAGGAAAAAAAAATTATTCAATATCCACATAATATTAAATTTATTTAAAACATATATTACAATAATTTACAAATATCATATACATAAATAAATAATTTATAGATGAGTTAAAATAGACAATTTCCTATTTTTAATTTTTTTCTTAGACATTAAATTTTTATTTAAAAGTTTTATAGCTGTAAATATTCTAAATCTTGTAAACAAATTAATTAAATACAATTTATCAAAACATTTACAAGGGTGGTTAAAAGGTACATTACAAAAATATTTTTTTAATTCGGCTCCAACTCCATCTACAATAGCAAGTGTGGAAAAGTTATTAATAAAAATATTTTCTAATTCATTAATACCAATATTTACCATATATTTTTCATATTTACCAATAAACCATGTTTATAAACATTGTGTTTACAAACAAACCATTAATAATGGTGTTGAACAATGTGACCGTATGTAAAGAAAAAAGGGAATACATTTTTTTTTCTTAAGTGGCTACACTGAGCGACATAAGCTTGTTATCAGCAAAAACTAAGAGTGTCACTTCTGGTTTTATCTATTCTGTGACGGCACACTATTCCTATAAAAATTTATTTTTAGTTATCGTACCCGTACACGCGTGCTTGTCATCAATATTATATATATATAAACAAATTTTTTTTTTGTTTATGATTGATTAACAATGTAAATTGTTGCCTGTATATATAATGTTACAGAGCCAGTTTTAGGCATGGGCTCTATAAAAATTTTTTTTCTTAAATATTGACCAAAAATAACTCATAAAAACACTCCTTGAGAAACCAGGCCCCAGTATTTTAAGTCAAAATTATAATAATAATAATAATTATTATTATTATTATTATTAAAAATAATTTAAACACAAATTTTGGTGTATTGATAAATCTATTTAATAAACGATGGAATATGTAATTAGTAAACTCTGGTAAGAATGCAAAAATGAAAAATTCAGACAAAATATTTTTAATTTAATTGAAGTTAAATATTGGTGTAAGCTTTTTTGAAAAGAATAAAGTGGTACTAATATCTTTTTTTAATTATATTATTATTGCCACTATTTTTTAAATGCAGAATTGATAGCTACAACTTTTTTGAATATGTTGCACAATAAGTTATAATAAGGGTTATGTATTTTAAAACATTATTATTCTGTAAATTTTCCATTATAAATATGCATAAATGAATTTTAATTGAAAATAGGACATAAACACATTGTCTATTATGAAAGATCAAAATGATAGGATAAGATAGTTGAGGAAAAAGATATAGTAAAATTTAAATTAAATAAAGAAGTAAAATATTTATTTTAAAAATATATTATAATCATGAAAATCAATACACTATGAAATATTTAACTAAACAAAATGAAATCTGACTAAAAAATTAATTTAAATATCTCAATCAAATAGTATTAATCCTTTAATATCATTATTACAATTATGAACACATCAGTAACCAAATAAATTAAGCCAATTTTATTTTATAATAGTATTTTGTTCAATAATTTGCACAAGATAGTCAAACAAAAAAAAGAATTAACCAAATTTATAAACAAAATAAATATTTTATTAATTTTATTTTATGTTTAAAAATAAATGTAATATAATCATGAAAACTGAAATTTCTTATAGCTTTTTAATAAATTTTGATATTATAAAGAAACTAAATTTTAAATGAATTGCACACCTTATGGTTTGACAATAGACATAGTATATTTATCAATATATTATATAATATAAACTCTATATATCAGCATAAATCTAAAATGGGATAAATAATTATTAAAAATGAAAATAATTTATTTTAAACAATTTTTTAAATTATATCCTTAAAATTCAAAATTAAAATAAAAAATTACAAATAAAATATCCTTATCAAAAATATTTTAGTCACATTATTCTAAAAATTTTAATAAAAAAATTTTAGCAATAATAATTCTCAGTCAATTTATTTAAAATTTTTTTTTTATTATATTTTTCTTCTTTACAAATATATAAATAAAATTCAAAAAATATCCATTAAAATTGAAAAAAATAAATTATTACAGAAATATTAATATGCCTCATTAAAATTAAATTAAAAGTAATTGTTTATTAATTCAGTATTATTCTATATAAATTAATACTTTATGCAGTTTGATGTCAATATGTAATCTAAACTAAAATTTTAAACATCTTAATTTAATACAACTAAAATTTTTTTTTTTTAAATCTTTATTAGCACATATGTACTTTAAAAAATTAAATAATTATTATTAATTTTTGATAACTAAAAACCTAGACAATAGAAAAGTCATACTTTAAAAAAGTTCAATGTTAAAAATCTAAGTTTTTTAAGTTAGAAATCACATAATGCACGCAATATGAGAACTCTTTCATAAATTATATCATAATCATTTTTTGTTTACTTAGATCCTTTAGGCTCTAGGTTTCCACATTCAAGTTTACAAATAGAGTAATTTTCTTAAAATAAATAAATGTAATTTACATGAGATCTTATTATTTTTTAATGAATTAGCTTAACTACTTTTATAAGAAAACTTAATGGTAAATTAAATTTTTATCATTTAATAATTTGGTAACAAAATTAAAACTCTATCCGTATTTTAAAAAGATTCAATATTTAAGTGATATTAAATTATATAATAATTAATTAATCAATTAAATAATAATTTATAAAATAATTATAGAAGATAATTGTTTTACTTCTATTTTATTATTACAATAAAAATTTTTAATGAGTTTTTATTTTTATTTTTTAAGTAACTGTAGCACTGCTAGGTTTTTAGAAAGTTTTTAATTATTAATAGAGCCCGGATTTATATGCATATATAAATTTTGTATCATCCACTTTAGAGAATCCAAATTTGTGCAACTTTGTTATAGAAATATAGTAGTATAGAAAACATTTTCGTTTTAGGGGAAAAATCACTAAATTCTCCTAAAGCCTTAGTTCTAACAAATTACTACATTTTTAAGCAGATAATTAAAATTTATACTGGCTGTTGGTGTATTTAAAATAATACAATAAAATTTATAAATGCATTTAAATCTAGGCTCTATTTATGAATAACAAACTATCTCTCTTATGTGCAATTAATACCCATTATACCATTTAAAAATCTGTGTAAAAGTGATTATTACACCTCCTATTTTCCAACGTCATTAAAATTATCATATGAAATTTATTTAAACTAAAATGTAAATTGTTAGTGGAGGTAATTAAAAAATATTCATAAAACAATAATGAAAATGAAAATGACACCATGTGCTTATTCTTTAAAGATAGCAATTTCTATGATCAGTATAAATTCTGATCAAGTGTTCATCTATTAATATAATTTTATTAAATAGACAAAATTATAAATATGTGTATTTATAAATAATAAAAATAGAAGTTATTTTCATTTAAATTATTAATTAATTTAATTTTAAATAATTTTTAAGAATTATTTAGAATTTTCAGAATTTTAGATTAATATCTTAATAACATATTTCATTATACTAATTAATAAGTGATGCAAATATTATACTTTGAATAAACATGATACAAAAATAATTTTATTTTTTTACTCCTCGAAATTCTTTACACTTTAGGTGAACCAAAAAAAAATTTTAATTTATCTTTATTATAGTTGAACAATAATCAAGTTATTTTAGAAAATATAAAAAAATTTTTTTTATACGTATCATCTTATAAAATAGCATCTTTAATAATTACATTAAAAAAATACAACAATAATAAGTTCAACATTTTATAAAATTAAAAAATTACAAATTACAAATGTATTTTAAAATTAGTGGACGGACTATAGTTACTTAAACAATACATATTAATAAGGACGGGTAGTTAAAATAGTTAACTATATTAAAAACTAAGTCAATATTATAAAACAGTATAATAACAATAGACGGAAAAGTTAATGTTGAAAAATGTATTTTAGTAACTAAAGAAACAAAATAATGTTATTATTTTTATTAACAATTAATTACTTATTATTTGTTTACTTTAAGAATTATTAAGTAATGAAAATGTATTTTATACAAATAATGGATTATTAAAAATGTCATTTAATTAAAGTAATTTATTGTAATGTCTATGTCATTAATAAAAAATAGAATTATTGATGTATAAAATAAATAATTAATATTAATTATTACTTAAAAGACTTTAATGACTGTAAGTAATAAAATAATATTATTTTAATAAATAAGACACATAATAGAATCAAACCTGAGTTTGTGGTACTGGTTTATCACTAATTCCCAGAGGATGATCTCTCATTGAGGCAGCACTATTCGTTCGTAAGGTACTCGCTGATGGTGTTTTTCGAGGGGATGCATTTAACGTTTTGATAGGTGCATCATGATACTCATATATATTACTAACACTACGATTATCAATACCCTGATGACTCATAGCCATAGGTTCTTCACGTACAACTAAAACATCACCGTTATAATACCTGTCTTTGGTTCTAAAAAAAAATTTGATTTAGTAAAATTTTAAAATTTTTCATAAAAAAAATTGAGTATTACTTTTTTGCATTATACCACAATATGCATAAAATTACAGTTAATGCAATTAAAATCATATTAAGACCAGACAGTCCCCAAAAAGCAACTTGTATTGGAGTTTTAGGCTCCCACCAATACTATAAAATTAATTATAAAAAATGATTAATTAAATATTTTTTGACTTTCAAAGTTTATTTACTTCTGTAGTAGGTGGATAGGTAGGAACAACTACACCAATAACTGTAGGTAAGTAATCAGACCAAAAAGCTGATTCCATTTGTCTATAATTTTGTTTGATAGTTGAGTTGAAAGTCGTATTAATATTTAAATACCTAAAATCTCCTTTGACAGCCATGTCAAAATGTAATCCTAAAATTTGAGTCAAACTAGGATTGCTGAAACATAAAATTTGGTACAAATATTCATTTATTATGCAATGTAAATAATTACACAAATAATATTATTGATTACATTTAGTAGTGTTTAGTATAAAATTAAAACAAATTTAGGGTAGACACAATTTCAATTTTTAAATTTCCCAACTTTTTAGACATTTTCAGGAGTGATAACATAATAATGAAATTTAGTACCGTGGTATCAATTATTATAACTATAATTAAATTTTGACAGAAATCCACTAAAGTTTAAATATGTATATCAGTACTCTGATAAAAATATCTGTCATTCTAGAGATTACCTGATAAAAAAATAATTTCTTGACACTCCCCGTTTTCCTGGTTTGTGGCAACCTGCAGTTATGTTCACTTTTCAAAATGTGCGTTTTTGTTATTTCTGATATATTAAATTAATTCTTCAACAATTAGTTAAGATAGCATACACATGATAAATAAGCCTTGTCATGAGGATATAGAGAATAGATTTTTCACATGATGTAAATAAATACATGCATCTTGATACATAATATATGTATTTTGGAAGGGGTAGTAAAAAAATTTCTTATGAACTCCAAAACAAAATCCTGAGAACACTACTAATATGTTGCTTAATATACAGAGCTTAAGACTAAAATTATTCAGTTCAAGCGTCTCCTGCTAAATGTCTATCTAAGGAGTTGATTATTATTACACTGAACCCTTTAATTACTTGTATTTATAAACAATAATAATAAAACATAAACAAAGAATATAATTTCTGTGTTCATTTTTGTATCAAGAAATATAATAACTCTTCATTTTTTTTTTGAATATTTAAATTTTACTTTCTTATTTATTCTTGACCAATTGACGTTAAGTAGGTCAACTAAAGTATTTTTTTTTAATACTTATTAATTAATTTCAGGGTTTGGAATTGAATGCATTTGTTTTCAAATACAAATTTGGAGGAGTTAAATCCCCAAGCTTCCAACTAGCACCAATACTCATCAAATTTAATATTTGTTTTATAAAACAATTTTAATGAATGTTATTACAATTATATTTTTGTTAAGTAAGTGTGAATGCGAATATATTCTTTTTAAAAAAAATTAATTTTGAAAATGTATTTGTTTTTTAGAAGCATGTTTCAAATCTTAATTAAATAACTTACCCATATGTAGCAAAATCAGTGAAGGCTTTCATAAAGAAATGACTCATATTGCGATCATTATCTGTCCATTTTCTTTTGTCCGTAACAGGTATACGTGAGAAAAATTCTAAAAATATTTTAATTGTTTTATTGGATATTTTAAGTAGTGCTAAATATGACTAATGTTATTAGGCTTACCATTATCCATAAAAGGTGCTCCAGTTAAAAAATAATATTCAGTGTCATGTGAATATAATCTCCATTCTGGTAGAGGAATACTTGTCACAGTTGTATTTAAAACGTACATATAAACAGGAACACCTTCATTTACAAGCAATTTTGATATTTGATCATGAGGCGCAATGTATAAAAAATCAGATAACATCTTGAATAAAAATGAATGCATCAATTAAATTTTTAAATAAAAATAATTGTTTCAATAAATAATTATTAATGTCTAACTTTTAGAAAAAAATTGCCAAGTATAAAATTTAAAAATGTTTACTTACATTTATATACTGAGTTCTTATTGAATCAGGATTATAGGGATCTGGCCAATAAGTATATAAATATTTAATAGCTTGATATACTCCTGATGGATTTAATGTATAGTTATATTGCAAAACAAGTTCTTTAACTTTACTGTTAAATAGTTCTTCAGTTACAGTGTAAGTTTTATTATTGACTAAAAAATCAAATAAAATGTATTATTACTTAATAAGTAGTGATGTTATGAACTGTGATTTTTGGAGTCAAACCTAACCTTAACTTTCAATTTCTCTGTAAAGCCCAAACCGAACATCAATTTTTTATTAGTTTCAGGTAAAGCATTCATTATATCATTACTCAACAAATTTAGCGTAATAAAACTAGTTTGATTTTCAAACTGATTTACAAGAAAAAAATGGAGTACATTTTTTTTTAATTTTAAATTTCTTTTTTGAACTGATCTAAACACACCAAATTCGGCTAGGTTTAATTAAAAAATCAAATAGTTTGATCATCACTACTAATAAGGCAGAATAAAATTAATTATTTTAATCTTTAATGTTTCAATAAGATTTAAAATACATACCAAGTATATAAGCTGCTTCTTGAGTGGTTACACCACTTAAATATCTGAGATCTTTATTGAAGTGACCAAATCGAATTGCATTTTCCACTGTTTCATTAAAGAAATGCCAATCTGATTGTTGCCAACCATCATACCAATTACTCTTGGGTACTAAAAAATCACTATCTATCACTGGTCCCCAAGCGTTAAAGCCTATTTGGGGCTAAAAAAAATTGTTCAAATACAATAGTATTGATATAATTTCAATTCAGACCTTAATTACCTTAAAATCTGCACCCAGCTCTAAAAAGCTACGCCCTCTTTTCAAACAATCTACAATTTTCCATGTTGAATCAATGCCACAACCAATATGTAAAGCATAAACTTTGGTTGTATTCATTGCTCTCCATCTGTCTTTAATAAGAGCCCAATCAGCTAATGCAGAACCACTCTATACAATAAAATATTAATAAAACAAATAATTAATGGATTAAAAAAAATATTACCTGAGCAATTACTTTTGACACCATAAAACTTGTTCTTGGATTAACCATCAATAAACCAGCAGATGCTGCACCAGCATCAGGTCCAAACAATGTAATAGATTTACGATCACCATTGAAGAATTCAATATTATCATAGACCCAACGTAATGCCATTGCTTGATCCATAATTCCATAATTACCAGGTGAATTTTCATCACATGTACTTAAAAATCCTAATAAATGTATTTTTGATATTCATTATAACATAATAAAATTACTCTTCAGTGTTTTAAATTCACAATACATTGAAACTTTTTGTTTTAGAAAATATATAATTTTATAATGTCAAACAATAAACAGTATTAATAACACATTCATTTAAAAAACAGAAAAAAAAATATTTAGTTTTGATGATGTGGAGTCTGCTGCCTGGGTATTCACTTACACGTGATCATACAGCAGTTACCGTGCTCGGCTGACACTCGTGATTAGCTGTGGGTGTCGAAAGACCATTGTTATAGGAAGGGAATAAGTGTAACACCTAGGTAGAGGTGTAGACAAAGTGCAAGACACAAATATTTTAGGTATAGGAGAGAATAAAGAACAGTGGTAGCGGAGTATGAGGTGCAGATAAAGTGCAAGACACAAATACTCTGAAATGTAGAGAATGAGAGTAGGTAGGTAAAAAGGAAAAACATGACTTGACTTTATGCAGTATGCTGGACAGTGACAACCGAGTACTGAGACTGATGAATGACGCAAAGCATTGGAATCGACTGATAACGATGGCCAGGTTTTTGGGATTAAAACATAATTCGGACGATTGCCAATTTTTCAATAAATATTAATCGACAACTCATTAATCTCTAGAAGCTGATGTGCAGTCTGTATTTTATTATAATAATTTTCTACAATAATGGTAACGTGACACTATAACAATACTCACACTAATTTTATATGATTAAGAATGCATTTTAAATAAAATCATGAAAATATGTCTCCCATACTATTTTACTAACCTAAAGCTCCCAAACGGTAATTTATTGTTACCACCACAACATTATAAAATGCCGCCATTATGTGTCCAAGAAATGAATTTGATGATCCATGAGTAAAATCACCTCCATGTATATAAAACATGACTGGATATGGTTTAGCAGGGATACTTCCAACCTATAAATTATTAAATTTAAATTTAATTATAAATTTAAATTTAATAAAATTAAAAATTTACTAACTGATGGCATGAAAATATTTAAATAAAGGCAATCTTCATCAATTTTTGGAACACCTTTTGTAATACCAGTATATATTGCTGGCTGTGGGCAAGCTGGTCCATAATCGACTGCTTGGTGAAGCTGCCATCCTTTGTGAGGCCTTGGAGGCTATATTTGAAAATACATTGAAGAAATATGCAAAAGAATAAAACTAGTCATCAATAGTAGTGTTCTTACCCTGAATCTACCTTCATTAATTGGTGGTGATGCATAAGGTATACCTAAAAACACAGCTACTTCAGCTTGTTTTCTTTCAACAGGTGTTTGAAAAGGTCTATATCCACTTTCCGGTAAAGGGTTATCATAAAGATGTACTTTGAAACCTTGTATTTGTCCATATTTAGTAGATACAAATACATCTCTATCTAGTTGCTTAGAATCTGGCCGTTCTTTTCCTTGTAGATCTGTCCGCCATTTACCTAACACACCAGGTAGCAATAATGTTTCATCACCCTATGATAAAAATTTTTAAATTTCAAACTATATTTAAAAAAAAATTAAAATTATAACAATTGTTTATTTACAGGATAGTTAACACCATTTGGTCGATATCCAGGTGTTCCAGACCGCCCAGGATAAGGTTGATTTCCTGGAAATTGATTGTAAGGTGGTCGATTTAAATAGTTATTCTGTTGACCATATTGATTGAGTTGAGGGTTAAATGGGTTATTGGGTGATTGAGGAAAATTACGATCATATGCTTGAGATTGTTGAGAGTAGATATCTCGGTCATAAGTTTGATACCTATAATCTTGGCCATTTATTAGAACAACTTGCGATGTTAAAGCAATGAATAGGGCGTGACACAGAGTAAATAACATAACAGCTTTGAAAAAAAAATCGTTGTAGAATTAACTGCATTAGATCTTGAGCATGAGCCGGTCCTACTAAGTCATATTACGCCCAAACATAACGGTTTCGTATAGCACCAGATGAAGAATTAATTGTGTATTTATGGAAATGTTCGTGAGAAATACTATCAATGAACGTTAAAAAAATTAAAATTACTATAGTGTTATTGTTTATTTACTAAGAGATATTTAGTTGGTAGGTGGTCCACATTCCTATGCTTAACATCTAAAATACAGTGATACAAACATTATATGATCATTTATTCTCTAGTTTGGAAAAAACACACTGTCTTTATTTATTGAAGCAATAATAGATTTTTAAAAATTTATATTTCTACAAAAAACGTTTTTTTACAGGTAAATATTTTAAGCCTTTATTTTTATTGTTTTAAATACCAAAAACATTTTTTCTATACAATTATTATTGAATTAAAAAAATTAAAATAAATTATCAAAATTTTTCCTCTATAACAACATGTATTGGCTTATCTGATAAACACCTCGCGGTAAATTCAATTATTATCACTTGGTCAATTTGACTAACGATTTCTCTTACTACCTTAATTTTTAAGTATCACTACCTCAATTAAGAATAAGAACGGACTAAAATTTGATTTTCAATGGTATCATTGTATAGTTAAGTCATAATAATTAAATTACTTGCTTTTAAAAATTCGCATTGTGAATTGATTTTTACATGGTTGTGACAAATTATTCTCCATTCTTAACTAACCAAGTAAGTAAGCATTATCTTCATAATTTATATAAAATACTTTTAATCATATAATATAGTTATAGATTTATTTTTTTTAAATTAAAGTTGTGCAAAGTTTAAACTGTTTATATGATCTACAGTCAATTATTTTGATAATAGTTATGTGCTATAACATCTATTAATGCCTTTTAACTTCATTTAAAACAAAAAAATTGATATAATTTTAAATGTTTTAATTGGTTATTAGTTTTAAAATAATGTTCTTATCATTGATAGATATTTTAATTACTAAATGGTAGGAAAAATTACTAAATTTTAAATAATTGTTTATTCAATTGCAATATATTTCTTTTGATTTCTATGCACATTCAAATTTAAATAATTTGATGTTCAAAGTTAATATTTCAGACAATAAAAGACAAATAAAAAAAAAAAAGTTAATTCTAATGTTTCTTTTTTTATAGGTTTTAATTAGTGACTTAAAATATTATCAATAATAAATTGAACAATGTGTCAAAATCAGAAGGGTTTGTGAGTTGAGAAACAAAATGTAATATCTTACGGTATTTTCATAAATTAAAAATATTTTTGTTTTATTTTGTAACTTAAAAAAAGGCATACATTTTTGGTATAGTACTAAATAAATTCTTGCTTAAGAAGTCGTAAGCTCATAAGTCAGTGTTGACCTTAGTGTATATATGACGTGATGTGATCTATATATTTTACTTTATCATGCATTCATAATAATTATAAATACCCGATAAATTACTTATAATAGGTATTTTTACAGGGGATACAGAATATAAAACTCTATAGCAAAAATGATTATATAGGTGAATACATATTTTAAAAGAGTAATAAAATAAATTCTATTCTATATCCCCCCAAGAAAAATTCTAATAATCCCCCTGTAATTAATTATTAAAAATTTTTTTTAAGTTTAATTTTAAATTATCAATTAAGATATTATTTATTTTTTAAACGTTTTTTAAATGTTATGTCTCTAACATATTAACTTATTTAAAGTGGTAAAATATAGGAGCTATTCTACTCCCTGTTATCCACAATACATCACTACAAAATAAAATGATGATCAAATAATCCAAATATGAATTAGACATTTTTTTGACTATGATTCCTCTCTTCCCTCCCATAATGAAATCTTGGGTACCCAACTGCTTATGTATATGAAAGGTACTGGAGAAAAATGATGTATGTCAATTTTTTCCATTTTTATTTTGACTTAATAGCTAATTAGCAGTAATATTAAAAAATGAAATCTATTCAAAGAAAATTTTTTATATCTTGTTAAGACAAAAACTACTATTTATGTTTTATTAAAGGGATAAAAATTTATAACTTTGTTTTTGTTGTCCTGAAAAATTTACAACAATGGACTTCTATTGTTTTTTCCTGTACCCTTCATATTACCTTAATATTATTAACTTCATTTAATTAGATAGATTATATTATTGATAATATTTTATGTACAAAAATAGGATAACAGTTTTGAGATGCTAGATTTAGTGACCTTGCCTTTTTAGCTTCAATACGAAGCTGAGAAGGTATTAATTTTATTATGATGTTATTTTTTTGTTTTTTTGTCTGTTACCACTTTTTCTCAGCTCTCACCGAATCAATTTCTTTCAATGATACTTCAAAAAATCACAATACGTATCTAATCGAAGACATTACCCTCAAGAATTGAAAAAATTCCCTCAATCTCCGTAAATGGAGGAAATCCCCCAAAAAATTACAATTAAAAAAACCCATCACAGGGGGGTCGCGGCACAGTGGTGACGTGGTATAGATGGATCAAGTATGATATCTGACAGTGATTAAAATCACTATCAAAAAAAAAACGCTTCGATGCAAATCTTTAGATAGTGTTTAATTTTAAAAAATTGGTGGATTATTCCAAAAGCTTCATAAACTGCTAGTTCATTATTAATATCCTAATTAAGATAAAGTATGTCGAATGAAAAAGGGATTATTAAAAAATATTATTTCTCATAAAAAAATAATGTTGATCCATACACTTTTCCATATGTCATAGCATTATAAAGTTAAAAATGTAAAAAATAAAATCGAGAATTTTCACATAATAATAGCATTCGGTAGCCATTTTTATCGTGAAGATAAAATAAAGTCCGAAATTTTTTTTTTGCATAATAAAATAAATTACATTAGCTTTAATTTAAGATATATATAAAAGTGTCAGACTTTCCGGAACACTTTCAAAATTTAAGTTGAAAAAGTAAATTTTTTGTGAAAAAGTTGTCATTTTAAATCCCCCCCTGTGGGCAGGTAAAGGGTCAGATATGAAAAAAATATATACCAAATGATAAGTAAAGACATCATGCATCTATAAAAAAAAGAATTATATTGATCCATACATCTTTCAAAAAGTTATAGCATTATAAAGTTAAAAATATAAAAAAGAATTTTTTTACAAAAATCGTATTTTTTTTAT